TATCCTGGGCACTTTTCAGGAGCAGGTTCAATTCCCACCACTGTGAGGCAGTCATTATAATAATGGTACCTCAAATTTACTGAGTACAATTAATCAACATTGTGCTAAGTGTTTCATTTACACAGAGCATCTCAAGTTCTCATAGCAACTCTGAGGCAGACATTGTTTCACCATGCATTTTACAGAAGAATCCACTGAGGTCCAGAGAGGTGAAGTGGCTTGCCTGAGGTCATACAGCAAGGAGACAGAAGAGGTGGGATTTTAAGCTGGGCACATGGTGATTGCCTGCAACTCTAGCATCAGCTCTTTTTCCTCCCCATGTTTATTTGCCCATTTCCGGGATGACAATGGTTTTCTCAGTGTTGCTGGAGAAGAGGATGGTCCTCCCCTCGGCCTTGGTCTTGCTGGGCAACTGAGTCATGGGCAGGAGACTGGCTAAGACTGCACTGAGGATGGCAGTCCCATAGCCCCAGCCCAGCTGGCACTGCCCACTGTGGTACATGGAGGAGGCTCCGCAGGCTTCCTTGGCGAATGGGGAGGCCAGGCTTATTGGGAAAACCATCAGGCCCACCACGGTGGCCATGGCTGTGAGAGAGCAGGGAGGAAAACCAGTGTGTGAGTCAAGGGGCTCTGGGCTGGCCTTCCAACCCAGAACTCAGTCATCCACCCTCCTGTTTACCCATCCACCCACCCATCCATCCATCCACCTGTCCATCTATTAACATATTCATCGATCCATCCACCAGTTCATCTACCCACTTACCCGCCCACTCATTCATCCATTCACCAACCCACCCATCCATCCTTGCATTCATGCATCAAAACTGATAGAAGTGCTGTGCTGGGCACTCGTGAGACTAGAAAACGAACGGGACGCCCTCTCACCTACAAGACACTCCCAGTGCAGGATAGTCCCATGACCCCCAGCCTCCCCTGCTGCTCTTCAGCTGCGCTGGTCTACTTGCAGTTCCCTGCATATCCTTGCTCGTTTGACTCCGTGCCTTTGCCCATGATGTTCTTATCACCTGAAAGGCCCTTCTGCATTTGGCTAGCTCCCACTCATACTTCCAGACTCAGCTGGAACCTCCTCCAGGAAGGCTTCCTTAACACCCTCCACCCTCTGAGAGTTTTTTCTTGCATCCTATTCTCAACCGTGTCATGTCCAATATCTGCTGAGTTGTCATTGCCTGATGTGCCCCACCCCCTCTAGATACTGCAGGACTGTATATCCAGCCATTGGTTCAACAAATTTTTAGTGAGCATATATTATGTGCAAATTGCTAGATGATGGTGATATCAAGGCAGACATGTCCTTGTCTTCAAGGGGCTCATGTTCAAGTGGAGAGAGATGGACAATGATCAATCAGACAGATATTTCAGATAAATAACTGCTATAAAAATACAAAGCAAGGTAAGGAGAAAGAAGCTTCCTTACCTAGAGGTCATGGAAGATCTCACTGAGGCAGTGATACTTGAGCAGAGCCCTTAATGGGGTGGGGAAGCAAGACACGTGCAAATCTGAGAAAAGGGAATTCCAGGCAGAAGGGACAAGTGTGTGTATTAGCAGCAGAAAGGCAGCCAGTGTGGCTGGAGACGTGAAGCCTGGCAGAAGGGGTGGGAGGTGAGGTCCTGGAGGGAATGAGGGTTTAGTCAGGCAGAGGCTCAGCAGCCATGACGAGGAGTTTGGATTTTTACCCTGAGTGTAACAGGAAATCTCTGGAGGGTGGAGAGAACAGTCTGAGAGGCATGATCTGATTTCAGTTTCTACAAACCAGTTCAGCCAGTGTGTGGCAAACGGACTCTAGGGGACAAAGGTGGCAGCAGAGAGACACTTCAGGTGGTTAGGGCTCTAATCCAGGTGAGAGATGGTGGAGAATTAGTTGAATGAGGGTTGCAGTCAAAGCCTGGGCGAGACCATCCAGAGATTGTGTGAATTAGAGAAATGGAATCCTCTGGGCAATGACAGCCCTGCAGTTTCATAGCTTAGCAGGTGGAGCATAGGCTAGATTTCAGCATCTCTTCAGCTGGGCCCTCTTGTGCAGTGCACAGCCTGCTCAGCTGTGTACCGTGGCCCCAGCAAAGATGATGCAGAGTGGATGGGTGAGAGAGAAACAGGGCCAAATGTTAGGACTGGGTTAGCTAAGGTGCATGAGAGGGTGGTGGTAGGGTTGCCATTCCCTCTTCCCCATTTCTGGCTTGCTGAAGGACAAGGAATAGTCTACAATCTTAGGGGTTCTCTCTGAGACTCAACACAGGAGGCCAGACTCTGCTCACAGGTATGTCATCCATTCATTCTAAAAATACATCTAGAATGTGTACTCTGTGACAGTGTATTTACCTGCTACCACCTGCACCCCTGGCATGGGGCCTCTGTTCCTCCTAGGGCAAAGCCCTTTGGGGGCCAAAGCCCAGGATAGGAGGAAGATTGCATTGAAGGCCAACAGGAGCCATCCTCCAAGGAGAATTGCAGCTGAGACCTGCCAGGAAGAAAGAGGGATAGTGTTTTCTGGGGTGGGAGCAGGTATATGCTCTCCCTGCTTAACTGAGTCCTCAAAATCTCACTGAGGTCAGCGCTATTATTACCCCCGTTTTACATATAAACAAACAGGTCAAAGGATGTGGAGTAATTTGCCTCAGGGCACACAGCCAATGAAGTGGTAAATCCAGAAGTAAGAAGCAGATTTACAAACACCATACCCTACCTTTACAGAGTTCCCTGCTATATGGCAGGGTTCACCAAGAGAGGCACCTTGGTAATGATGTTTTAAAGGCTGTGTAATCTTCCTTAGAGGTGCTGGACTGGGATTCCTGACCTATTGTATGCACTGTTGAATTTGGTAATGTGCATCATGAAGGAGATTTTCCATACCTTAGCTGTGGTTTTCAAATCTAGTAATGCTTAGAGGGTGGACAGGTAGGGGTGTGCAGGTTGTACACTGCACAATTCTAGATCATCATAGATTTGCATATTGATTATATGATTTTCCAGTAGATGGCAGTATAGTCCAGAAGAAGAGGCACTTTTTCCTAGTTTGTGCAAAAGCTCTATATGGGCTGGCAGCTGCCTCTAGAATCTATCTGGTGTTGGCTAAAATGCAGACCCCACCCCACACCTACAGAGTGAGAGGTTGAGGGCAGAGGACCAGAACTTGGCTTTTTCTATTTTTGGTTCTGGTGGGTTTGATGGTGCTCCTGAGGCCCAGTAAAGTGATGAGCCCCAGGTCTTACCTTCCAGGCAAAGTCAGGAATATCACCCAGGGACCTGAAGGTCCCACAACTCTGGTTCCAGCTGTTACCTTGAGGCCAGGAGCAGTAGGTGAGGACTCCAAAGGAGAAGGTGGGGGTCTGGAACCAGACAGGGGAGATGAGGCTGAGGGCCGAGATGCAGGTAAGGGCAAGCTCCAGAGCTGCCCACATGCTGCCCTCCATCAGGGATGTTGGTAACCTAGGGGTCAACAGGCAAAGTTAATGGGGAGGCTGCTTGGAAGGAAAGAAATGGGCTGGTGAAGGGGTCCCCCCAGCAAAGGCTCTGGTCCTGTGTTCAGACCCCAGGCCACCAGCCTCCTTTCCTGCGCTGATGGAATGGGAGGTTTTCAAATCTAGTTAATAACTCTGGGGGGGGGGGCGCGGTGGGATGTGCCTAATGAGTCCCAGAAGTAGAAACCCCAAATCTTAGAATAAATGTGAGTGTTTAAACTGACCTTTGACCACCCCCCACTCCTCAGGTGACATCATCGGTACTGACCCACGCTAGGTCCCTCTCGTTTCATTAATTCATTCCTTCGTAGATTCTTTCATTCTCTCAGCCCATCAAGCCTTGCACTGTCCAAAAGGGCTGCTTCTACCCAGAGGGGCAGCTTTTTCTAAATCATACACAGATGCTGTTTCCAGCAGCCATCCTGTCCATGAGCCAACTCCTCTCAATCACTGGTCGTTTTAATCACTTAATGTGTGTCTTTTTGTTTGGAGGTAGTTACACAAAATCAATATTGTTCGATATGGGTATGTTTTCCATTTATGGAAATGGCTTTCTTTGATCTGTTGCATTCTGTTTCCTACTTCGAGTACTAAGTATGATGTTTTTAGGGTTGGTTCATGTTGCTGTGTGTACACTGACTCTATTTGAGTTTCCTAGAAGCAGTCCATTTATACACAGATTTTTTTCAATAAATATATTGGAAAATGTTTTGAAGATTTGCAAACAACTTGAAAACATTTTCTTTTCTCTAGCCTACTTTATTGTAAGAATTCAGTATTTAATACCTATAATATACAAAATATGTCTTCATCTTCTGTTTATGTTATTGGTAAAGCTTCCCGTCAACAGCAGGTGATCAGTAGTTATATTTTGGGGGAGTCAAAAGTTAACACGTGAATTTTCAACAGCGTGGGGATTGGTGCACCTAACCCCCGTGTTGTTCAAGGGTCGACTGTAATATGCATCACGCAATTCATATGCCTTGTAACTCCTCAGCCGCAAGCCCGGAGGACTAGAGAGTGAGTGCGTCTTTGTTGACTGGAAGAGAACCCGCTCTTGGCCTGTGTGTCAGGCTAAGTGAGGGGCAGGCACCTCCCAAGGGCACAGGCAGAAAGGGATGCGTGCCTAGGTCTTCTGCCTGCGCAGCTGTACTTGAAAGCCCCAGGGAAATGCTAGTAATACATCATCCACCCGCTGCGGGCCGGATCCTGTTCTAGGTGGCTGCAAAGGGGCCTCCCCAGGGTTTCCACTAAAATATACGGGACACCAGTACTTGAACGAGATCTGTCTAAAACCCATGCACTTTACCATGCTATTTTTCCATCTCTTTTCTTGGCTTCGTTCAGCTCCAACCTCCAGTCTTCCCACTATTTTCCTCTCCCCAGCTCTTGGCTTTCTGCTGAGGCAGGGCTGTGTACCCGTCCCTCTCTGCTCAGGGGCAGCTGCTCCCCCCATGGGGGCAAAAAGATCCTCCGGCCTGGAGATATCATCTCCCTTATCCCTTATTCCAAATAATTTTAGCTCTCCTGCTCTTGAGACCAACCCCAGTGGTCCCAGGTACAAACCAATGTCCCAACCGTATACAGCCCGATTTAATGCTTTCACTCTGGGGAGGCGTACAGGCTTTGAGAGCAGAGAGCGTCCGTTTCTGAATCTTTTATGTATTGCTGTGTGACCTTGGGCAAATCACTTTCTCTGAGCCTCAGTTCCTTCCTCTGTAAAACAAGCGTTTACTGGTATCTGTCTTGTGGGTGGTTGGGAGGATAGAAGGTGTATAGAAGGTGCTTTATGGAGTGCCCTGCACACAGTAGGTCCTCTATAAATAGTTACGACAATGGCTGTGGTGGTGATAGTGATGGGGATGGTGGGGATGGTGGTGGTGGTGGTGGTGATACTGGTTACTTAAAATTAAAATGTATCTGCATGAAAAGCAAGTTGAAGTCCAGTCTTACCTGAGCAGTAACAGGTGGTTGGATGAGGAGGCTGAGGCAGGCAGGTGGTTTGCTAATAGCCACCCATGTCACTGATGACCAGAAGTGAGGCCTAGAAGGGCAGAGCCAGCCCACGGGCACCCAGGGTCAGAGGCACCTGAGCTGTCAACTCAGCCAAGGGCACCCAGCTGTCATGCCAGGACCTGAGCTCTTCAGTCTTGGGTTTCATTTTGGGGCTCTAAGCCGGGCCAGCGCTTTAAATGTGGCAGGAATCCTGGGCTTGGAGGCTGGCTAGTTACCCTACCACTTCCCAGCTGTGTGACCTGGGGCAAGTTGCCCCATTGCCCCGGGCCTCAGTTTCTCCATCTGTAAAAGCAGATTAGTAATCCCAGGGGACAAGCATAGTCGGGTTCAGTGGGCTATGTGGCGGAGCCAGACAGACCACAACCTCCCCTTCTCAGCCAGTGCTGTGGCCTTGGGGTGGTCACCTCACCTCTCTGGAGAATGGGGGTGTGGTTGTTGTGAAGGTTCAAGGGGACAAAACGTGAGTGTGTTGCCAGAGAAGAGGGGGAGAAGCCTGGCCAGGCAGCTCAGGGTTACATTACCTAGAGTTTTTATTCCCAGGATTAGAAACACCTCGTGGCTGCTAGCCAGCAAGCGAGATGCGGCCCCTTGAGTAAGGAAGGATGGATTTCTTTCCCCTACACCAAAACCGCCTCTCCTTTGGGCTTGGAAGGATTCCGAAGGGTGTAATTCCAGCCAGGAAGCTGGGCAGCCCGGAAGCTGACTGAGGCCCATGATTCTGCTGCTCTCTGGCTGCCTGGCGGCTCTCCGGGTGTCTCTGACCTTGAAAGGAGTTTTGTTCTCCAGATAATGTGCTGAGTGTCAGTTGGGAAGGTCATGCCGACTGCCCAGGTGCCCAGAAACCTAACTGAGGCATTATAACCTGAACCCACATCCGGCCAGGCTCCAGTTAGTTGGAATCCACCTAAGGGGAGCTTGAAAGGGACTGCATATATTCTCCTCCAGCTCAGCATCGAACTGTTAAGGGCAGCTGACAATACCGGAGCACCCACCAAGCCCCATTTAAAACGCTTTCAGGCCTTCGTTCATGTACGCCTCACGGCTACCCAATTGTAAGCACTGTTAGCAGACTTCCCATTTCACAGATGGCAAAGTGCATCTCAAGAAGTGAATGGTGGAAGGGGGACTCAACTCAGGGAACCAGGCTCCTGATCTTGGGCCCTAAGCTCAAAGGGACATTAAGGGGTTGGTTTAAAAGTCAGATACTCCAGCAGATTTCTGGGCTGCCCAGAGTTAGGGCTTGGCCAGCCTTCTCCCCTGCTCCTGCCAGGGAGCATGGATAGCCCCAAGGGAGCTGGCCAGCCTGACAGGCGGAGAACTCGGACTGAGGAGTTAAGAGGTGGCTGCTTGTGCCTTGGTTTACCCCTGCAGCCACATCCCTTCCTTATCCTTGCTTCTCATCCTCATTTTCAGCTGAAGGGGTTGATCATTCATTCATTCAACCAACTTGTATGTGCCCAGCCCTATGGGACCCTTATGGTACAGCAGCGAACAGAACATAGTTCCTACCCTTCAAGAAGCTTCAGGTTCTGTGGGCAAGACAGACAAACAGTCCATTCATCCACCCACCCAACAAATACGGATTGTGTATGTGTGTTCCATGGGCTGTTCTAGGTGCTGGGGATTTAGCAGTGAGGAATACAGACAACACTGTCCTCATGGAGGTTGCAATCTAGTGGGAGACAGACAGTAAAGAAGCAGGTCAACGTGTAAGATGCCAGATCTTAGTAAGGGCCACAGAGAATAATGAAGCAGGGGATGGAGCTGCCCAGTGACTGGAGGAAACCGTGGAGAACCTCCTGAGAAGGCGGCCTGCGAGCAGGAGTTGAGGAAGGGGAGTGGCCTTGTGGACCTGTGGGGGAGGACCAGGTGCAAGGGCCTCGTGGTGAATGTGTGTATGGCACATGGAGGACGCAGAGAGGTCCAGGTGACTGGAAACAATGAGGACGGGGGTGAGCAGCGTGTCACGTAGGCAGAGAAGGTCCTTGGCTTTTAACTTCTGAGTGAGATGGGGAGTCTGCAGGGGTCTTGAGCAGGTCCTGTGTTTTAAAAGGATCGCTCTGGCTGCTGGCTGGAGAACTGGGGGAAAGGAGAGCAAGGGACTCAAGGCAACTGCAGTTGGTCAGCTGAGGAACAACAGTGGACACGGTGGGGAGCAGGCGGGAGCGCAGGGCAAAGGAGTGGGTGGACCCTGGATCTGTGTTGCTTAAGGATCGGACTTGGAGTATGAGGGACTGAGGCAAGGATGCCCCTGGGGCTTTTGACCTCGGCACGGGGAGCCGCCATGCCTGGCATGGATGCCGCAGAGGTGCTGCTCTGCCGCTGGAGGGGAGGTGTCTGAGTGTGATGTAGCCTGAGTGGGGCCAGAGATGTGTCTTTTGCCAACAGATGCAGACAGGCACATCTCCACGCCAAGAGAAAGACCAGCACAGAGGAGGGGCACCAAGCAGTGTGAGGAGGGCAGGGCGGCCGGAGGGACTTTGGCCTGACCCCCTCGTCTCCTACTCCCAGCTGCACAGCCAGGACAACTGGATTTCTGGTTCCTTCCCAGGCTCTATTACAAGTTGTCTGTGGGAGGTGGGTCAGACTATGTCATGTTGTGGCTCCAAGCCCCATTTTTCCCAATGCAGTAGACTCAATGTTTGTGCACCCCCCAAATTCATATGTTAAAATCCTAACCTCCTTCGTGATGGTATCAGGAGGTGGGGCCTGGGGGAGGTGATGAGGTCATGAGAGAGGAGCTCTCATGAACTGGATTGGTGCCCTTATAAAAGAGACCCCAGAGAAACCCCTTGCCCCTTCTCCATGTAAGGGCACAGCAAGCAGATGGCCATCTATGAACTAGGAAGTGCGCTCTCACCAGACCCCAAAGTTGCTGGCATCTTGATCTTGGACTTCCCAGCCTCCAGAGCTGTGGGAAATAAATGTCTGTTGTGTGTAAGCCACCCAGTGTAGGGCACTTTGTTATGGTGGCTGAACAAGCAAGACCCCCATGTCCAAAAGGATGGCCATGCCCTGTACCTGTGGGACTTAACCTTTTGGAGGTGATGGATGCCTTTGAAAATATGATTTAGAAATATGGATGCGTTTCCTATGCAGGCTTCATGCACATACGTATACACACGCATGCACACATGCACACACACGACAGTGTTTGCAATGTCAGGGGCTCGTGGACCACTGATACCCATTATGGCCTCTGGACAATGCTTTACTCTCTCCCCACTCCTGCCTTAGACCACTCTTCCCTCTAGACTTACCGCACTTCAGGCCAAGAATGTCCAATGCGACCTCTTCTGCTCAGGCTCCAGCTCTGCATGTGAGTCTGTGACCTCGTGAGAGTGCCCTTCCCTTTGATGGGAACATCCAGGTCAGCAAACCAGCCCAAGTGCGTGGTAACCTTGTCTGAGGCGCGCGCGCGCGCGTGTGTGTGTGTGTTCTTTCCCAGTTCCTTAAATCAACAGTCTTTCACTCTGGACTCTAAGTGGGCTGGTGGCAAAGGGAAAATTCCAGTCCCAAATCAGGATGGGGCCTGGGTATAGTGTTTCCTGGATACAAGGCATGACTAGAGATTAACTGATCTACAATTAAACACCACGTGTTGACATTCTTGCCACTGTGCTACCTTTCTTCTGCCTTCATAATTCTAGTCCACAGAACAGACTTGTCTATTTCTCTGTGACCTGAAGATCTCTGCTGTAGGCTGTAGATTTTCAGAAGTGGGCACTGTAGCTGAAAAATCTTTATCCCTAGCTTGGCACAGAATAGGCACCTATCTTGTCTTTTGCTGTAAGTGATGGAAGTGCAACTCAAACTGATTCAAGTAGAAATGGGAAATCTATTGGTTTACACAAAGGAAAATTTTATATGACAGCTTCAGGCACAGCTGAATCCAGGAAAACAAGCAGTATCTTCAGGGCCTCTCTCTCTCCCTCTCTCAGTTATGTTTTCTGCCAGGTTGGCTTCAGTCTCAGGCAGATTCTCTCTCACAGGGTTGGCTTCTGGTACTTTCAACTGATCTTTTGAGGCTTAAGCAACCACAGAGAAAAGAAGGCACCTCTTTGCACATAGTTGTAGCAAATGTTGTGATGAACTCTCACTGGACAAACTTGGGTCACATGCCCACTCATGAGCTATTCACTGTGACTAATGGGATGTTCTGATTGACCAGACCTAGGTCCTGTGCCTTGGGATTGGGGGTTAAGAGTTTAGAGATTGGAGATTTGAGTCGGGATGTCATGAGGTTCACCCCACTGGAACTGCATGGACCGGAAGTGGGGGATGGCGTGGCTTCCAGGAGAAACACTGAGGCGCTGTTAGCAGAGGATGAGGGATGGATGCTGGGCTGGTGAGAACAGGTGTCACTGTAATGCTCTGGATGCTGCCGTGACCAACAAGCACAGACCAGTTGGTGCAAGTGGAAGCAGGAGAGTCCAGTAAGTCAAGTGCAAAAAATGTTGAGTGAAGCCTGAGACCAGGGCTTAAGTCTCAGCTTTGCCACCTCCATGCAGTGGGACCTACTCAGAGCATCTGCCTTTCTGGGCCTCCATTTTTCCATCTGTGAAATGAAGGCATCCAGACTAGATGACTGCCACGGGTTTCCCCATTCATTCAGTATTTATTCATGTTTTTTCCTTCAATCACTATTTGTTGAAGGGCTTTGGAGTTAGTCTGACCCGAATCTGTTTTGGCTGTTCTGATGTTGTTGAGCTGCTTAGGCTTGACTGATGCACCTCCCCCAGTGTGCTCAGCTGTGTCCTTCCCGGCCACCCGGCAGCCTTGGACGGGATCCAGCCTCCTCTCGCTCTCCCTGCAGGTGGCCTGGGTCAGTGGCTGCAGGCATTTGGCCAGCTCAGCCTGCAGTGATGTGGCCTGAGTTGTGGTCCAGTCTCTCAACATCCCCAGCTGTCATCCGAGCAGTCCTGACCAAACCTTTGACAAGTGGGGGTGCGGTGGGAGTAGGGGCAGGAGGAGTAGGGGTAGTGGGTAGGGGACCCCAGGGTGGATGGGGATAGGGGTGGAGGGCCTCTGGCACCTCCCCTTCCACACTCAGGTGAAGCTCTGGGTGTGGAACTGGCTGCCCTCATGGCTGCCCAGAGGCACAACTAACAGCCCAGAAGGGAGGAGCATCTGGGTCCAACTCTGCCTAGTGGTAGACAGGATAGGGGACCTGCCAGCAGATGAAGTTCTTGCCCTTCATCCCTGCAATGTTTCATGGGGCTCCTCCGGAGACACCCTGAGGGATGGAGCTCCCGTGTTTTCTTGAGCAGCCATGCCAACCAAGGAAGACATGTCTTTCCTCCTTCCCTGCCTCACAGTCTCTCATCCTCCGCTTTTTTTGGGCTAGGATTATATCCCCAGTAAAGTGCATTAGCATGTAAGTTTTGCCTCATGCTTTATTTTCTAGGGAACCTACCTACACTGGGATGCTAGCTGTGTGACCTCGAGCAATTTGCTAAACCTCTCTGAGCTTCAGAGCCATCATCTCTAAAGGAGATAATATTAGAGTATCTTTTACAGGATTGTGGTGTTTAATGAGACAGTACATGCAAAGTTCTTGGCTCAGTGTCAGCTTTTATTAGTATTGTTACTGTGAATGAGGCACTGGATTGTATCATGTGAAAACATTTATTCAACACTAAAATCCATGAATATTTATTGTCAGCTCTGTTTCAGGTACTATGCTAGTCTCTGCTCCCATGGGCTCATAGTCTAGAAAGTGAGACAGAGCACTAACTGGGCAACTCTGCCACAGTGCTGTCAGCGCTCTAGTCCCGGGGAGAGGCTTCAGAAACCGTGGCATGGTACTCGGGGAGGGCTTCTCCGAGGAGCTGATGTTAAGGCTGAAGCATATGTAGTTGTTGCAGATGATGTGCAGGTAGAAGATGAAGTGGTCCAGACAGGGCATGGCATGGGCAAAGGCACAGTGTTGAGGGGAAAACATTTCAAAGAATATACTGGCTCTTACCCTCAGGAAGCACATAGATTACAGGAGAAACACAATGGATAAATATGCACTGATGAAAATACATAAATATGGTCTTTGGCAAGGAGTTTGAGTTCTAGAGCTACTCAATATAGTAGCCCTAACCACATGTGACTCTTTAGATTTAATCAAAATTCAATCAAATTTAAAATTCGGTTTCTCAGTCCCATTGGCCCCATTTCAAGTGCTCAGTAGTCACGTGTGGCTGATGTTGGACAGTGCAGGTACAAAACATCTCCATCATTGCAGAACGGTCTATTGGACAGAGCTGCCAGAGAGTCAGAACAGGCAGCCAAATCAGGACAGACTTCCAGGAGGAGGCAGATGGCAGAGAGGGGACTCTGGGAAAGTCCTTGGGTGACACTGCCCTCTATCCTCAGTTGGAGAAAAGCCAGGACAGGGAGCGGGGCTGGGGGTGTTGGCTCTGAAACAGTGTACGACCTGACGCCTCCTGGATCAGGGTATAATCTCTGGGTGTGTGCTGGCTGGCAGCCTCTCACCGAGAAGGGGAGGCAGAGGACTGCACAGGGAATCAGCCGAAGAGGCTGAACCAGGAAGTCCTGCCCCCTCTGCAGCCAGGAGGACTGTGGGAATTGCAGTTTGGCACTTCTGGATTCTCTCAAAGCTTGACAGGTGCAGAAAAGCTGACAAAGGGTTCGGCTGGGCATTTTGGGGGGCAAAGAGGGAGGGCTGGTCAGGGCTGGGGACACATCTGGGTTTGGGGTTACCACCAATAGAGGTAGGAGGAGGACTGCCTTCTCTCCTCTACTGCTCAAGTTCTGGGATAGAGAGATGCCAAAGTGGAGGACTATGTTAGCTGGGGAGCTGAGAAAACATGCAACATTTGGTTAACCAGACTGGCACATTATGGTTAATCGAGATTTGCCCAGGAGAGAACAAGTTTCCGTAATGTTATGGAGGAGAGGTGACAGGTGGTATGCTATCAGCTGTTTGTCATTCATGCATGTAATCCAGTATTTATTGAGCCCAGTATTTACTCAACAATTACTATGTGCCAAGCCCTGCTGGGAGTCAGGAATGAAGAAGACAGACAATACAAAGATGTGGCAAGAGATCTCTACACCAATTCTGAAGCCACATCATGTGATTTTTTTTTTCAGGTGATACTTTTATTTAAAGCTCTATATGTTATTTTGATCTTTTCATTAAACATGTAGTTAACAATTTTCTTATCCTTGTTACCTTTTTATTTGGAAGGTTCTCAAACTTACAGAAAAGTTGCAGGAATGACTTATTTTGAATGAACACCTGTAAACTGTTTACTCAGATTCACCAATTGTTAATATTTTGCACATTTGCCCTCTCTCAATTTCTCTCTCTTCTCATCCACCTCACCATTTGAGAGTAGGTTGCAAACATAAATTGTCACCCCTAAAATTTTAGCATGTCTCCTAAGAACAGGGCATTCTTTTGTGCAACCACTATGCAACTATCAAATCCAAAAACTGAACACTGATATATTATCTAATATATAAATTTATATAAACCACATTTATGTTTATTATTATATAAACCATATTAAAATTTCACCCACTGTCTCAATATCTCTGTAACATTTTTTCTGACCCAGGATCCAATTTAGTATCATTCATCAGTGATATTTCTTTCTAACTTTATAGGCCCGCCAGTTATTCATGCTGAGTACGTTTCCTTAGGAGCGTGTGTTACAAATACAAATTCAGTTTACCTGTCCAATTATTTTATTAATGTCTGTAAGCTCCACAAGAGCTTGGATCTTGCCAGTTGCCACAGCCCCCTGCACACAATAGGTGCTTAATAAAGATCTATGGAATGAAATGCGTGAAGGAAAGCAAAGCAGGCACTTTCTTGAGTAGGGGCGACTTTCCACGATTCTCTCTAGATTTGTCCAAAAGTTTAATACTCCTAACCTTCCACTCCAGCACTTGCGTTGCACACAATAGGCGCCCCAGCATGGTGAGCACACTCCTGCCACGCCCGCCGGCCGTGCGCCCCAGGATAAAAAGTACCCCCGCACGCCGCGAGGGGGCGGCAGCACTTCGCTCAGACTCCGCTAGCTCCCCAGCCGGCGCCTACAGCTCCAGGAACTCGACGGGCGAGCCTTTACCGGGCGCCTCCCGAGTTCCCCGAGCTGCACTTGGCTCTCGGGGGCGCAGATCCGGTGACAGGTCGGTGTCCATGGCGGGGGATTCCGGCCGGAGTCTAGGGGTCGCTCCGGGAACGCAGGCTGAGACCATGAGCTTGTTCTGAGTCGGGCGCTGCGGGGGTCGGCGCTCTCGGTTCGGGAGCACTTCCGGGAGAAGTGTCCCGGCCGAACTGGCGACCTCTGAACCGCCAGACCTTCCTCGGGTACCTCAGCCGGCCGCTGAGCGAGGGTGCCCCTGGCCGCGCTCCGCCCCGGACGTCTCCGCGCAGGCGCCACGGCCGCGGTTCCCATGGCGACGGGGGGCGCGTCCCTGCCCGGGCCCCGCCCCCAGCAGGCTAGGCTGCGCGGGGCCGCGAGCGGCGCGGGCAGGTGCCACGGGTTTCGGGCAGGTGGTGACGCGGGCTGGCTGCGGCGGCTCCACGGTAGGTTGTGCGGTGGGCGCGGGGGTGAGGGCCGGCCGTCTGCCTTCGGGCCCAGGCCAGAAAGGGGGCTGGGGGGCGGTGGCGGGCGATGGCCGCCAAGTTTTTGCTCGCCTGAGGCCACGGGAGAAAAGTTGGCAAAGTTCACTGGGGAAGAGGTGGGGACCCAGCGGACCTCCCCGGGCTCTGGGTCTGCGGGGAGAAGGGAATGCCGCCTTGGGAGCCGGAGGAATCTGTCTTCCGAGACTTGGGAGTGGATCCCGCGGGAAGATCCGGCACAGGGCAGCCAATAGATCCCTCGCCGCCCAGCGGAACATTTGGGAGTGGATCTCGGGAGTGGGTCGGGCTCTAGTGGCCTCCGGTCCCACCCGATCCCCAACCTGGGGCTGACGGTGGACGGTGATTGGAGACTGGGAGCCGTTGACCCCTCTGCCCCCACGCGGGTCCGAGCTTTGGAAGCAGACTCCAAGGGGAGATCTGGTGGCCTGAGCTGGGGGATCGCCGGAGATCCTGTGTATCCAGCCTGGAGCTGCTAAGATCTGTATGTCCGTGCGGGTGGAGGCCCGCCCCGGAGGTGGGCATTGAGGAGCGGGGCTGCACAGCGAGGCGGAGCCCAGGACGAAGGGATCCTGTGGGCAGCGGGGGCGGTGGAGAGAGCGGCGCGCCGGGCCCTCGGGGCGCACCCTCCCCGCCGGGCCCCCCTCCCTTCCGCGCACCTGCTCAGAGCGGAGACGCCGTGATGGGATTAAGGGTCAGTGTCCCCGCTCCCAGGCCAGCTCGAGGGGCCCCCACCCAGTTGGCGGCGTCGCCTGGGGCTAGAGGCGGGGCCACCGGGAAGGGGAGCGGCCCGCTGAACCCCAAGCCCGACCTTTCCACATCCTCTGGCTCACACTAACCACAGAGCCGGAGCACCGCGTCCTGAAACCTGCTTTCCTTCCATAGTGGGGTGTGTAATCTCCGCGCGCTGCCAAGGTGGCCGGGGCTTCCTGCCGGCCGGACTGAATTTACCCTAGCCAGGAGCAGCCATTAGCCTTTGAAGCGAAAGGGTTGTACCTGTTGCGCCAAGAAAGAGCTTTTTCTTTGCAGCTTCTTTTTGTGACCTTGGGCAAAACTCCTAACTTCTTTGATCCCTGGCCTCACTTCTGGGCGAAATTGGGTGGGGGGTAGGGGGTCACAGTCCTTCCTCTTCTGGGTGGCTGGTAGGATTCTTGGGTAGGAAACAGGGGCACCGTAAACATTAGCGGCCCTCATTCTGTGGCCAAGTGTCTGAGGGAAGGCTCCAGAAACCCAACTTGCCGGCTTTTTAAACTGCAGGCTTCGCGAGGTATTTAACTTGGTCTTTCTTCCGAAGGGGTTTATTGCTCCTTCGATTCCCCTTTGGAGAGAAGCTTTGTGGTTTGGCTAATGAGTAACCAGGAGATTTGGACAGGGCTTCTCCCTTGGCCCAGGTTTCCCTTTGCTAATCCATTAAGGCTCCTGGACAAGCATGCATTCTCCTCCAGACACTGGCATCTCGTCCCTGGGACAGTGCCCAAGGAAGTTGTGCAGACAGTAGCCTTGGTCTTGGTGGTTTTAGGGGAAATTCTTTTAAAGGATTTGCATGTATGACAAGGGTGTAATTACCTGAGAGAAGTGCAGGGTTGTGGTGCATCTTCTGGGCACATTTCAGCTGGGCACATGAGCCGGCTCATTCAGGAACCCATGTGTGTATGGAGTACCTACTATGTGTCCCATACTACAGAAATGTGTGGGTGGGCAATATAGGATCTGTCCCCCTGGTATTACAGTCTAGCTATGGAGCAGTCAGCTTGCCCTGTCATCCAGAGGGGCAGCCATGCTGATTCTTGATGTGGGGGGTGCAGTTCTCACCTCAGGTTCTGAGGCTAGAAGGGCCTTGCCCCCTTGGGGGTCCTGGGGGCTGGCTTTTATCCAAGGCTGACCTTGGCAGGACAACAGAGAGGCCCACTGTCTGGCCTGAGCACACCTCCCTTTCAGCATCACCAGAATACATCCCTGACCAACTCAGACAGAGAGCCCCAGAGGAGTATTTTAAATATATATTCATTCATTCATTCATTCATGCAGCAAATATTGTGACCATGTGTCAAAGACCATGTGTCAAATATTCTAAGACTAGCAGTCACTTAAGTTTACCCAAGAGGTAAAGCTTTTGTGGAAAGAGGCAGTTGTCTAGAATGGAAGAGCTAGAATAAGGGGGGTGGGATGGGGGTCAGGAGGCTTAGTGTCTTGAAGAGCTTGCTGGTGGAAAGAGGATGGTGTTACCGGCTGAGAAGAGGGAACAGGGTTGCCCGGATGTAGGAGGGGGCAGGGCATGCTGTCAGGGGATGCTGGCTGCAGCCAAGGCAGCCATTCTCAGGGGTTTGGACTTTATTCCAGGGCAGTGCAGCCTGGGATACAGAGAGAGATAGGGTCATATGTGCATTCTGGGGAGTTTGCCCTGCTCTTGTGGGGAGGCTGAATGGGCGAGGGTTCTGGAGGAGGCTTTGAGGCCAGTGAGGAGACTGCTAGAAAAATCCAGGTGAGAGGTGATGATGGACTGGATTTGGAGGGAGACATCAGTCAGTGTTATATTTAGAGCCACTCATTTGAAGACCCCTTCCTGGAGCCATAAGAGTCTCTCTGTAGAGGGAAACCCCCCAGGGGAAGTGGCCTGAATATTGTGTCAGTATTTCATCCAATTCAGCAAACCTTCCTGAGCACCCATAATTTGTCTGGCCTGGGATGGTCATAAACTTCCTCAGGGACTTCGCCGTCAACCCTACCACCTTGCTGTATGAGGAACGGGGGCTCATTATTCCCCTTTCACAGATGCAGGACTCAGTGGTGTAACAGGTCTTTGCTGGCCAGCAGTGGCAGAGCAGGGATTTGCAACTGCAGACGATGGGAGTAGGTGAAGTTGAGTGGGGAAGCCACAAAATGTGGTGAGGTTGAATTGGGGTGCAGCACAGGGAAACCCAGGGAGGCTTCCAGGAAGAGGCAGGGCTAAAAAGGAGGGAGCGAGCTAGGGAGACTTGAGGCAAACCCTGGCCCTGCTCCTTCCTGGCTGTGGCCTTGGGCATGGTACTTGTTTTGAGACTCTGTCTCCTCATCCGTAAAATGGGCTCAAGCTGAGTTCCTCTCCTCCCTCAAAGGGTGGTTATGTGAGCTCCGTGAAGCAGTGCATGGAAAGTGCCAGGCACAGTGTCTGCACCGGTCCACACTAAGCCACGGGTATGATTACCATTATAGCTTGTCATCAGGACGTGCTTCAGGCAGGCCGTGCTTCTACCATCACGGCGTGGGTGTGGAGGGGGCAGGGGAGGGGCCCCACAGGTGACACTTGAGCTGATTCCTGAAGGATGAGTAGGAGGCAAGGAGGGAGGGCACTGCAGGTGAAGGAACAGCATAGGCAGACGCACAGCCATCTGGAGAATTGCATGCTAATTGGCATGCTCAGAATGCAGCGTGTGTTGAATGAATAAAAGTTAAGACCATCAGCTACCAAAATTCTCTTTATACCCCTTGCCTCTCCACAAATACCCAACCAGGAAGGCTTTGGAGGGTTTGGGATAGAGAGAGGGCAGGAGGAGCCCTGCCCAGCCGTTCCCGTTCCTTCCCTGACTCACCCATCCAGATTATAGGAGTGTGACCCCCAGACAAGCCCCTTCCCTCTTGGAAGCTGTTTTTTCCTCTGTAAAAAGGGAGGATTGGAGTGAATGTGGTTAAAACACGTAACTTAGCAGAACACCTGCTGTTCGCTGGACCCTTTATATGTGCCTGACTGTGGGCTAAACTAAACTCTTCTGTTCTTTTTTATTCTTCACAATAAACCCAGTCAGCACTTGTTTTGGGACCCTTGATTTTGCAGTTTATGAAACTAAGGCTTTGAGGGGTCCTGCCGGCTTCCATGGCTCCAACTTCTGTCACTTCAAAGGAAGCTAATATGCTGAACAGAGGGATAAACACACACATTTTTTTTAAACTTCATTGTGATGGATATATTATTGAGTATCCCATGGGCAATTCAAAAAAGCCCTTGCCCTTAGGACTCCAGTCCTTAGGGATTTCAGTGGTTGGGTGGGAGGAAGGTGAGGGGGAAGGCAACAAGGAACAAGTATGCAAGTGATCACGCATTGGCTTCTGGGAAGGAGTTATCACCCTGACATTTGTTGATTGCTTAGGTAAAGGACCTTTGAATGTTCTGTAGACTTGTCTCCATTAAGAATATAAAATATTCCCCAAAGCACGACCTTTGGATGTTTACATCACTGAGTCAGAAGTGCTACACATACACATTATACTTATCTAACACACCGAACACTTTAAAGATGACAAAATGATATTGGTTAAGTGAAAAGGGAGTCTCCCTACCCCAGCCCTTTTATCACACTCTGCTAATTATCTAGGTTACTCTTACGTCAACTCTGGAACCAGATGGAGGGAACTGAATCTTGGTTCTGCCACTTACCAGCTGTGTGACCTTGGGCAGGTGACTAAACCTCTCTTAGCCCTGGTTTCCTCATCACTGTATGGAGATGATAACGGGTCCTGCTTCTGAGTCCTGTTGCTGCGAGGACTCAGTGAGAAGGGCCTGGCGCACGAATCAGTGCTCGGTGTGTACTGACCGCCATTGTTCTCTATCTTGTTACTTGTGGTTATAGTGGAGTTACTGTCGCCTCCTTCCCTCTAGACTTCACATTCCCAGAACGCAGAGACCCTGATGTGTCTCCACTGCTCTTTCCTCAGCAAACACTTGTGGAATAAACAAAGGAGTCAGCATATGTGGACAAATCCTTTTAACAACAGCAATCATAAAGCAAGGAATTTCACACATACATTAATAGATTTATGTGATACATTTATGTACTAAATTAATAGCCTTGGACACTTTCCCATTTCAGAATGTGTTGGCTCACCCCACACTTTTAAAAAGCTGAATAAAACTCCCAGGCATGAAGTTGCTGTTTGTTATTGAACAGACGCCCCGCTGATGGGCACTGAGT